TTTTTTTTGAGATGAAGGTTGCGCATGTTCAAATTTTTACGGGGTCACCAGTGTAGGAAATGTAGTCATCTACTTGAGAGAGAAAAGATTATTTGATGTTTCGTCCCGGGAGCACGCCAGGACTCATCAGTAAGGCTGATGACGTGCTCCCTGCCTTAGACACCTATATCGGTGGGGATACCCTAGCTCAATCTTAAACGCCCATATATATTAACCAACATGAAATCCGGGCACTTGCGAGAAAGTCGAGTTCAATGGTTAGACATCTAGCGAATGGTTGGAGAAGGACAGAGAGCCGAAGTGTACATGTGTGTGAGAGAGTCCACACACACGTGCCGAATCAGCGCGAAGTGTTCGAGATCGAAGATTTAAAACCGCACTTGTGGAGGACCGTGAAATAGCAGAGGCGGACTCTAACCGCATCTAGTCAACCGGTTGGGGGTGAAATTGAACTGTAACTGTGCCTCGCTGTGCCTCCAGCCTCTTTGTATAAGGAGTAGCGGACCTCAACCACGCGCTAGCTGGAAAACGACGCAGGAAAGCTTGCCATCGAAAATTTTGGGGGAAAAGGCAATAGCCGAAGATCCAATTTGCTGAAGTTGCTCTAGTTTAGCCACTCAAAATTGGCACTTCCCACCTCTGGCTAGCTTTCCAACATGCGTCAAGAGAAGGAAAGGTGATTTACTCACTTGCACCCTTCCTTTCTCTTTTACATCAAGATTTTACCCTCCTGACAAATCTCACCCGAGATCTCATCTGATATCTCACGTGATTTCTCACCTGACATCTCAGGTGAGATCTCATGCCGAACTCTCATCTGAGATCTCAGGTGAGATTTCTGAAAGAAAAATAAATATAATAATTTTGTGCAATGATTATCATTTATACATTTATAGAATGATTGCCTAAAATATCAGTAGTTATAGGAAAAAAAAAAAAAATTCGGCTAATGTGGGACACGAACTCGAGCTCCCAGTTTATCAGGCAAGTATCTTACCGCTTGGCCAGAGTGGATGAGATATTAGTCCAACAATTTAGGTCTGTATAAAGTGTAAGTACCATGTATTACTGTTTTTCTTATTCACAACTGAATCATACAATCATTAATAGATATAATTTTTCCCAATCTTAATTTTGATAGCTAGTTAGTTGGTTAACTAACTAGAAAATATTCAGGAACATTATTTTCTTCACAAACAATATTATCTCTCTTAAAGTTACTCTTGAGGGGGCTTTATATCCAAGTAAGGCCTAAGTTTTCAATAATCATCATAAACGTTTATTTAAATGTAATAATAAAGAAAAACTGCAATATAAAACAGGAGGACTTGATGTGTTGTGAATAAATTATTTAAAAAAAATCCAAATTGCTTGCATGTATATTATCTTATTCTGAAAAAACACTTATAAAAGTTGAAAATCCTTAAAGCTATTTATGTTATTCCAACTTTTCAAACTTATTATACTCCTTAAAGAATTTCAGATAGAGTAATTAACAGTATACTGTCAATTTGTTAATACAATACATGTGTAATGAGTTGGGTGCAATTGTTTATACGAAACTGTATTTTACTCGTTTTTTGCGTTTTCGGAAAACAATTACATTAAACTCACTAAACATTAATTATTTACGGAGCATAATAAGCTTTGAAAAGTTGGAATAACATTAATAGCTTTAAGGATTTTCAACTTTTATAAGTGTTTTTTTAAAATAAGATAATATACACGCAAGCAATTTGGATTTTTTTAAGATAATTTATTCACTACACATCAAGTCCCAGCTGAAAATTTGTCGGTCTAACATAAGTTCTTGCGTAATTTCTTATGTTAGTTCTCATATAAGGTCTTTTAACAGAACTTGTGTCAGAACTTGTACACGAACTTACATTTGCTTATCAACCAAGAACTTACATAAGATCTTATGTAATTTCTTATGAAAGTTCTTATAAGACTACGTGTATCAGTCGTTTAAACGTATTCAATTGCTACCCAGATACATATAAGAATGCAAAGAAAACCCTATATGATACTTCTTTACCATATTTCACAATTTCTTTCTTCAAGAAAACGATGAAAAATGACTATGATTATTATTAAAATTATGAAAAAATACAACAAATTAAACAAAACTATGTAAGGTAACATTTGATGATGTTAGTTTGTCTTTAAGATAATGCTTTTTTACAGTCTCTTGTTCTGGTAGAGAAAAAATTTTCTTAATTTTTGTTTGGATCGAATAGTTTTTAAAAAAACGTTATTTTATGTATAAACTTAAGTTGTAAGAATTCATGTAATTTATCTGAGTACTGTATAAATACGTGAAAAATATTATCTTTCCTGCTGGTATTCGATCCCCAGAATAATGTGTTAAAGAGTAAATTAATGGTTATTTACAACTTTGTTGTGATAATTACAATAAATTTATTAGATCCTAGCAGGAATTTGCAATCGTAATAAAATGGAAGAAAAAGTAAACTTTTGTAATAATACGTCGTGACCCATAAGAAAATGTAAGAAGATGTAAGAAACAATTATTCTCATGGAATTTGGATGTTTTTAAAATTTAATTATGTTGTGTTACGTTTTCTCACATTTTAGTTACCTTTTGATATAGTTTACCACATACTATTACACTATTAATTTTTCATGATAATTACTCAACTTTTTTTCGTTAAAAGTAGTTATTATTTAAAAATGTTAGAAAATGTGTCTAAAAGTTAGTAATTGTAACAAAATATAAAATAGTGCAATAAACTGCCAAAAACTGTAAGCTGTTATAAAATATTACACATGACAACATTTCCTTACGTTTTAATATACACTGGAAAAAAGTTGGTCGCCCTGCGCCACCGAATACAGTCACGCCGTGCACTCACTTTCTTGGTCGCGCCGCATGCCTGTTTTGGGCGCGCGGCGCACCCAAAGTACCTGGCGCGCGGGACAACTAAAATTTAGATGCGCGGCAGCACCAGCTACACGTTCGGCAGTACGCCCAATGTTTAGGACTGCTGTCTGCCTGTTTTGTTTTAAAAGAGGTAATGTGGCTTAAATGCTGTGCAGTTAACTTTTGTTTATAATTTAATGTATAGTTGTAAAAATTAGTGGCAGTGTTTTTGTTGTAAGTGTATGTGTATATCTCCCAGGTAATATACCAGTGTACCTCACGTATACGCGCTTACATGCATGCGTCGTAACGAAAATTTCCCAGTTAGCCTTATCAACTCTCTTGCAGGAGTGTGTACATCTTAAAAAGCTGGGGACGGCACGTTATTAACTATACGTTACGTCACTTGTAATTAATAAAACATTAAAAACACATTTCAAATAGCGAGCAAACTGGAATCATTATATGATTATTGTAATACAAAACCGTATTACATAATTAAATATACGTCTTACTAATAAAAAAAAAATTGTTTAATAATTTACTTTACGAATTGAAAAAGTGCTTAATGCAAGAAATTAATTTTATTAACATTATTACTAATCACGCAAGTGATTTTTCACAATGCTAAACTACACAAGCTAATAGCATTATATATTCATAAAACAGGCAGACACCAGTCCTAAACATTGGGCATACTGCCGAACGTTTAGTTGGTGCTGCCGCGCATCTAAATTTTAGTTGTCCCGCGCGCCAGGTACTTTGGGTGCGCCGCGCGCCTAAAACAGGCATGCGGCGCGACCAAGAAAGTGAGTGCACGGCGTGACTGTATTCGGTGGCGCAGGGCGACCAACTTTTTTCCAGTGTAGTTAATTAGAGTTGCTTTTACATGATATTCAAGTGCCTTTTTAGAATCATAATAGTAATTATTTATTCTTTATTATTCACTTTCTTCGCCGATCTAGCACGGACTCGTCTTCTCTCCTACGCGTACCAAACGGAAGTCCCGATGACTCACTAATATTTGACTAAAAATTTTTAGAAAAAATAGAAGCGTTACGGGCTCTTTATTAAATCGTATTATAATTAAAATAACGACACTATCAATGAAAATTTGGTTGCGTCCCTACATTTATAACATATATCTATACTATTAACATTTGTACAAGTCACTATCCGAGTCGATAATCCAATACTCATCAAAGATACAATACGTTTTGTATCGTTACGGGATAAAGTTATAGGCTTGTAGCATAAAAAGAATTCTTTGTTGTGTGATTGACTTTAAAATTTAAAAATTAATGACTTTCTGATTAAAACAAAATGACATGAATGATATAAATGACATAAATGACATTTATGACACGTGTCGTGTAACAAATAAAAATTCCGTGTCTATCCATACCCATCCCTGCCTACAATACAAACTGTCTATGATAGAGTCTATAAATTTGGATCTTTATGAATGAAGGATTTATAATTAAAAAAAAAATATTACAAATCACACACCTTGCACCAATTTTTATTGACATCATGTGGCATTATGTGAGCCTTAGTAGATTAGTATGCCAGTACTGGAATTGAGAAATTTCTATCGTAACAAAATGTATGTTGATTTTTAAATAAGCGAATAATTTCTATTTCTGAACGGATAATCAGTTCGTACATTATGTGCTGTAAACGTCTTTTTCGAAGACATATTTAAATTGGATAAAGCAGTCAGCGTTTTATGATAGTGTACGTAATGCGCAATTACTTATTCTATTACTGCATAGAAGGTAAAGTTATTAGTGGGAAATAACTGTTAGATATGAAATTCCATCGAATAACTGAATTATCACAATGCAAAACCAGTGTTTATAAAATTAAGTTGTTTCAGCTTCTTAAAGTCAAATATTGAATTGAATCCCTATAAATATACTTTTTGACAAAACAAAAAGGTTAGGTAAGTTTGATATTATGAGTTAATATTTTGTAAGGAATTTCTCAACTCTTTATACACTGACAATGAATAGTATTTTTTATTATGCATCTGTTGCCGTTCAAAGGTTTGAAATCAAAGTATAAAAACGGTCAAGTTTTTTTTTGGCTTAACATGCATTTTATATGACACTTATAATACTGTCATGTTCTTACTTTAACAAAATCAAGCAAAGTCGAGTAAGCAAGGCATCAATGTATTAGATGTGAGGTTTGCATGAATTACCAGTCAACATTATTAGTTACATTTTCTTAAAGTACCAGTACTAGACTACTATACACTACAAATGTCATACAAAATGTATGTTAGGTGAAAAAAAAATCTTGACTCTTTAAATACTTCGATTTCAAAACTTTTCAAAGCTATATATTCATGAGGAAGAGTATTTCATTGCCAGTGTAGGAAGGCTCCTTCAATACCTTGAAAAACATTAACTCAACACATCAAACTTACCTAACCTTATTATTTTGTTAAGAATTATTTTTATGGGTGTATCATAACTTTTTAGAAAAATACCATTACTTATTAGAATGTTTATTTCTAAAAAATTCATTACTTCAGATATCTTCTATATTAGAACGTACTGAATAGAAATGATGTATGTACAACATGGCTATTGTGATCTACAATAGTCCTACTAAATTTCTACTTGAAGTTGCTCATATGAAGGTTTTTTTGAATATATGTAAATGTGTGCAGAGGTTGATTTGTACAAAGAGTTTATAAATTTATACCGGACAAAATAATTTTTTTTTTTTAATATGGTTTCAGGATTTGTATCTATAGATTTGTTCAAGCCACTTTTGGCTCGGTTCGGTTGTCTTAGCAAAATATACCTATATATAGGGAACCGAACAGAACTGGTTCTGTATATATTTGCTATGCTCCTAAGGTGGCGCTGTCGAGTGAGAGAAACTGTCCCTCGCTAACATCGCCAGAATGCATGCAGCCTTGTAGGAAATTATTTTAATAAATTTAAAAAAAGTTATTAAGAGTGAATTGACCAGATGAATCAGTGATTTAAGCGTGTATTATGTTAGTGTACAGTAATAAGTTTTGTTTGGTGTTGTCATGTGTACTATAAGATAGTAAAAAATAAAAATATGGATTGCGACTGTAATAACACAGCAAATATGAGTGCATATACATGCTTGCACTTGAGTGGAGCTTGAAAAACACAAGTAATGCTTACATTCATCTATTTCTGACAACACAGTGTTCAATAAACGTAAATTCACTAATGACAGGTTAGGTTAACTTTTACACATTTATATTATGTTTCCGTGGATTACTTGTGTGCCTTTAAGCTTTGCATTAGTGTAAACATTTATATGCACTCACATATTACAGTCGCAATCCATGTTTTTGTTTTTTACAATCTTGTAGTACACATGACAACACCAAACAAAATTTATAACTGTACATTAACATAATGCACACTCAAATCACTGATTAATTTGGTTAATTCACTTTTAATATAACCTTTTTTTAGATTAATTAAAAAATTTTCCTATAAGGCGCATAGCGAATAGGTGTATTTTGTTAAGAGAACCGAACCGAACCAAAAGAGTCTTGAACAAACCTTATGTATAAATAAATTTTTTTTTCTTTCATTAAACAACTTTATTGTATAGTTCTTATCAATTTTCTCGAAGCTAATTACGTAAATTAAATTACACTTTCCAACAAAATTTTTCGATAAAATACTTAGTAGTTAAACACATCAAAAATCTCAAATGTATTATTTATTTAACTAACATTTATCATTATCTTTTTGATGTAAGTATTGATAGAATCCAAATATTCTGAATTACAGTTATTCAATAACTAAGTAATCCTCACAATAAATAATTATTTATTACGGGAATGCGTACGAAAACCGTAAAAGCGATGTACAAGTTACTTTAAAAATGTCTTTCTAGTAAATAAATTCTCATTTTACTATTACTTGAAACATTGATTAATAATATATGATTATTAACTACCCAAATCGCTGAGTTAAATGAGCTTAGGCTTACAGCTTGTTATTCAGGGCACTCCGGGAAATAATTAGAATTTTCTGTCTTATCGATTAAATTATGTTGATACGATTACAGTTGTGTTACACGATTTATTGTTATTAGCTGTTTTATTGAACAATACGTCAATTAGTGAATTTCTTCATTGCGTCTTTGACTCATGACACACGGTTAAAAAAAAAAAAACAGAAAATAAGGTTAGATTTTAATCGTCTCTCATCTAATTTTTCTCCTAGAACTTTCAAATTATGTAGCTAAGTTTGGGCTTGATTAATTATGAGTTACGGTGAAGTTAAATGGCGATACTTCTTTTTCTAATAAAATAGCTATTTTTTAAAAATAATTTGGTTATTGACTTTATACTTAAAAGGATCTAATTGTTCAGATAAAAAATTTTAATTTTCTTTGAATTATCCACTATTTATTATCGATAATTTACATTTATCATAAAACTCTTTCTACAGTGAATTTGTCTACGAAGACCGTAAAAACTGTGTGAGTAATAACTTACCACTAGTACTAAAAAAATTATACAATATACTGCTTATAGTTAATTTATTCATTACAAATCTCGATTCATATGCTGAAACTAATATGTAACTGGCTGTGGGTACATGTACATACATATACGACTTCGATTAGCCACATTCAACTTCATATCGTATTTCATTATTCTCGTATTGATTATGTACGGAAACAATTTTACCATAAAAGAGTTATCCACCCGCCCCCCCCCTCTCTTTTCTGAGGCATCGTAATTTTTTACTATTATCTGCAAATGTGCTTGCCTCAGTAAAAGTCATTATACCAGTTGTCTACTTATTTGATATCCTAGAAATTAGGTCATATAAAAAAACACCTTAGAGTTACCCGGGAAGGAGTGATAAAGGGGAGTCTCGAACCTGAGCCCCCCAGATGAGAAGCAATCGCTCTATTATCTTAGCCACTGTGAACTCCCAACGCTGCGTGCTATCGATTGTGAAATGAGGAAGTACCTGGGGCTCTATCACGACTTTTGATATCTCGCAAAAGTCAGTATTTTTTTCGATAATTTAGATAAAATTATGGGTTGTGCGCATGTGCATATATATATATGAATTATCGAAAAAAATACTGACTTTTGCGAGATATCGAAGGTCGTGATAGAGCCCCTGTAGCCGATGTCACACTGTTGGTAGCTCTGCTTAATTTTAAAAACACGCCTATCCTAATTATTCACAGGAAAAATTCGGTATTTTTCGGTAAAGCTGTTAAGCAGGATTGAAGAACCTAAATTAAACCAAAATACATCAGGCTGTTTTTGCGATATTTGAAAATTCGAGTAAGCATATCTGAAATAAATAGTAGTGCGGTCGCCGAGGCTTTGTCTGCTTCCTCAAATTTACCTCGTCGTGGTCCCGCGTGACTTGATTTCAAATTTCCCTTTTTGATAATTTTTCCAACAACTTTGATATAATAGGTCAAAGGTCGAGTCATTACTTGAAATCTTATTTTTCACTAGCTATGAGCTTATGCCATTTTGTTATATAGCTTCATACTTGCACTGAAATGCACTTGCACATTATTGCTCTTATTTGTGCAACGTTAATATTTGTTTACTTCATCATGGTCAAGAATGTACATCAATTTACAAATTTTACTATGTTTCCTAAACTTAGTACTTTACTTGTATTCAATTTTCAAGTCTTGTAATTTTCTATTTCTTTCACAGATTTTTATTTTGAATTATTTGATATGTCCAATCCGATGATGGATATATTTTCTTAATCACAACTTATAATTATATCTACTTCTGGGGAAATCTTACACGGGAACACTATCGCTACCTGACGGTAGAATAACCCTCATTAGAAATGAAACTAATCATGCATGATCTAAGTGCTCGTTTTTTTTTTCTTAAACTACTATAAAGTGTTAAAAATTAATGTAAGAATGTGCGTCAAACTTTTTGTGGGCGTAAAAACGTGCAGATTATGTTACTTCGTTTGAGTAAAACGAATTAGCTTAAGATGAGTAACTAGAAAACGAATACGTTTAATTTAAACTACAGATGTTTTTAGTGACGGATGCGAATCACATTTTTTTATTGTGCCATAAAATCCAAGAACTCCGTTAAAATTTTGTGGTTTTAAAACACATTGTTGGTCCTCTCATTTATTTATCCATATATAGGGTATGTAATGTTTTTGACAATTTATTAAAGAAGTATATACACAGGATATAAATAGTCTTAATTCGTTATTAATACGCAAGAGAGTTTTGGCTTAGCTAACGCTCGGACTAGGTCTGGCGTGACGCCGAACGGTAGTACATAATAGCACACATGTAATGTGGTACACCGACTAGGTGGTGCTTTCAATATATCAAGTCAGTGGTTCGCACATATACAACAATTCTTCTCACTTAGATTTAAAAACGCTCGTACTAAATATAAAAAAGGATGAAATAATCACAAGTCTGCGGGTCTTTTCGTACCCAAGTCGAGCGTCTCGGTTCAATCGCCTCAGCTGCCAAAACATCAAGGCTCTTTGCCACTGGGTCATTTTTAATTGCAGGTTGTGGCACGGTTAGCTCGATAGTTTTAAAACTGGGTGCATCGCATGTAGTCTGCTCAGGACATAATGGTATAGCGAACGGCCAAGACAAACGATTCGGAAAGTCTGGGTTGGGTACGCTTGCGGTTACATCAGTTTAAGTCAGTGGTTCGCACATATTCGCTTTGTGCAGCAATTTGAAAC